GTTTGGTTTGCAAATGACCATCTGGGTGTCTTTCAGTACATGTAAGTACACATAAGACTCTCAATGGTTCATGCTCACCCTCCTGTGTGCACCTAGGCTCCCATGCTCTCTCTCTCCAGGCCTTGAAAACCATGAGTTCTCACCAATTCTTTCAATTTCAATCCCTCACGTAAGGGTCCACTCTAGCCTTCTCCTCTCCATATTTCGAGTACTTTCTCCATCATTAAGAAGCCTATTTCCCATTATCTTTAATATATTTACTCTTTTGCTGGATCCCCCTGTAGGTGAACATTGTCTTCACCACACCAGCATCTCTGCCCCTGGCCCCACCTCCTCCTTTGCTCTGTTCCTGGCTTTGCAGCCAATGCCAACCCCTCTACCTCTGGACTTTGGCCTTGGTCATACCATGTGCTCCAAGGGGAGGAAAAAGTAAGAGACAAAAAGGTATAAGAGGACATCAGGATTTTGTTTTGTGTTTCAAAGCTTTTTTTGTTTTTTTTTGTTTGTTTGTTTTGTTTTTTTTTAAAGATTTTATTTATTTATTTGAGAGAGAGAGAATGAGAGACAGAGAGCATGAGAGGGAGGAGGGTCAGAGGGAGAAACAGACTCCCCGCTGAGCAGGGAGCCCGATGCGGGACTTGATCCGGGGACTCCAGGATCATGACCTGAGCCGAAGGCAGTCGCTCAACCAACTGAGCCACCCAGGCGCCCAAAGCTTTTTTTGTTTTTATGAAAGCACCAGAATCTCCAGTGGATCTCTAAAGGGAGCTTTCTGCCTCCTAACCCTCTTCCATTTGCAGAAAATACAGATTTGTTCATTTATTTTATTTTTTTATTCATTTATTTTATGTTATTCATTTATTCACTATTTTGTATGGAGATTTCAAATATGGTGGAATCACTTGGCTGGACTGATCTTCCGGCAGATGACAATGATAAAATCTGGACAAAATAACAAGGAAATGATCTTTAAAACCCTGGAGAGTGACCAGAACTAGCAGAGACTTGAGGGAAATCTGCTGGAGAGCAGAACTGCAAGGAATGAGATTTGCAAATTTCTGGCTTTTTGCCTGAGGGGGTGCCCTGGCCCCACCTCCTCCTTTGCTCTGTTCCTGGCTTTGCAGCCAATGCCAACCCCAATCTGGGAGGGGTGGGAGGGGCATAGAGCTGCAGCCTTACTGAGGGGCATAGAGCTGCAGCCTTACTGAGGGGCTTACTGGCTTGAGGGATCAGAGGATAGAATTTAGGGCTGACTGAGCTCAGGCGGAAGATTGAGGAAAATACCGGAGAAAAGGGAGCCACCAAAGGAGTGAACCCTGAAATAGAAAATTAACTTTAATTTTTTTTTAATTTTCAGAAGCATAAAAATACATAAACTATTTAGGAATAAATTTAACAAAAGACCTGCAAAACTATACACCGAAAAATGCAAAACTGCTGAGAAAAATTAAAGAAGAGTAAAATTAAGTGGAGAGATAATGTGTTTGCAGATTGGAAGACTCCACGCTGTTAAGATGTCAATTCTCCCCCACTAAGCTATAGATTTATCACAATCTCAATCATGATTCAGCAGGCATTTTAAATAGAAAGTGACAAGCTGATTCAAAAATGTATATGGAAATGCAGAGACCCAGAATAGCACAATAATCTTGGAGAGGAGATGGTAAAAGGTTGATGCTATTTGACTTTAAGATCTCCTGTAAAGCTCCAGTAATGCAGACAGTGTGGTACCAGCAGAGTAAAAATAAAGATCAATAGATCAGGAGTGAGAGTCCAGAAATAAACCTAAACTTATATGGCCAATTGATTTTGACAAAGGCAGTAAGACAATTCAATTGAGAAATGAAAGTCAACAACCATTGCTGAACAACCATAGATCTTTAAGAGAAAAAAAATTTTTTTTTTGACCCCTACCTCACACCACACACAAAAATCAATTCAAGATGGATCACAGACCTAAAAGGAAAAGTGAAAACTACAAAGTTTATCAAAGAGAATAGGAGAATATCTTCATGATTTGGAGGCAGGCAAAGATTTCTTAGTACGCAGAAAGCACTGACATAAAAGAAAAATTTGATAAATAAGACTTTACCAAAAGAAACTGTCAGGGAAATTAATAATAGGCACAGTAAAGACCTGGAGAAAGTATTTATAAAAACCATAAAAAGTACTTTTATCTAGAATCTATAAGGATCATCTACAACTCAATAATAAAAAGTCAATACAGAAAAATGGGCAAAGGATTGGAACAAATACTTCACAAAGGAAGATACATGAATGGCCAGATGAAAACATGCTCAATACCATTAGTCATCAGGGAGATGCAAATTAAAAGCACAGTGAGATACTATACATAACCATCAAAATGACTAATATTAAAGACTTCTAACACCAAATGTTGGTGAGGACATAGTGTAATGGACATCTCATATATCACAGTGGAAGTACAAAACGGAATGATCTCAGCGGCTTCTTAGAAATTTAAACATATACATTTACCTTTGACACAGTAATTTCCATTACTAGGTATTTGTCCAAAGGAAATGACAACATATGTACACAAAAAAAACCTGTAGAATAATGTTCACAGTACTTTTATTCACAGTAGCAAAAAATAAGAAATATCCCAGGTATCTAGAAACAGGGGAATGAATTATATATACTAAATGTTTCCATCATATGAAGTTCTAGAACAGGTGAAACTAAGCAAAAATGGGAGGAAAAATTGGTTGCCTGGAGTTGGGGTGGGCATGGGCGTGAGAGTTGACCGAGAAGGGATATGAGGGAACTTTCTGGGGTGTCTTGAAAAGTTCTGTATTTTTTTTTAAGATTATTTATATATTTATTTATTTGAGAGAGAGATAGTGAGAGAGAGCATGAATGGGGAGGAGAGGGAGAAGCAGGCTCCCCTCGAGCAGGGAACCCAATGCAGGGCTCGATCCCAGGACTCTGGGATCATGACCTGAGCCGAAGGCAGACACTTAACAGACTGACCCACCCAGGCGCACCTCTTTTTTTTTTTTTTGAAGATTTATTCATCTGAGACACAGAGATACAGAGAAAGAGCATGAGCAGGGGGAGAGGCAGAGGGAGAGGGAGAAGGAGGCTCCCTGCTGAGTCAGGAGACCGATGTGGGGCTTGATCCCAGGACCCCGGGATTATGACCTGAGCCAAAGGCAGACGTTTAACCATCCGAGCCACCCAGGTGCCCCGAAAAGTTCTGTATCTTAATTATTGGCGTGTGGATTACACGCAAACTGTATAACTGACGTGTGCATTTTAATGTCTGTAAATTTTACCTTAAAGGAACTGTAAAAAGTGGTAATAGTTGAGTGGTGGTTGGGGGAGGTCAGTGGCAGAATGGATGAAGCAAGAATGGTTGAATGTTGGTAATTTTTGAAGCTGGGTGGTGTGTACATCGGGGTTTATTATACTGTTCTTTTGACTTCAGTGTACTTCATATATGTTTGAAATTTCCAATAGTTACAGGGGTCCCAGTCCTGGAGAAATTAGACATAGGCCAATAAGTTTCATTTGGGGCAGGGAAGGCTCTACATTTAAAAACACCAGAGGCTGGGACTCCAGGTGGGGCTCGGGAGTAGCATGGGGCTCTGGATAATATAATCATGAGTGGACAGAGCAGTACAGAGGTTCAGTGGCAGGAGAAATGGGTGGAAATAATGACAAAATGGTCAACTTCACAGCCGTGAGCTCTCCCTTTGTCTGTGTCCGTCTTGCTGCAGGTCCCATTGATCACAGCCTTCTTCCCCATCCTAAGACCACAGTTCTGATTCCTGCACTGATTTGTTACAACTGTTAACGTGTGCTTTCTGTGCCTCAGTTTCCCTATCTATCCCACAGAGCAAGAGTTGATGGCTGTGATGGCATTTGCTTCCCTAATGGGGAAGGGATCTTTTAGGCTTAGGGTCTTTTAGCTTTACCACTGCATAGAATTGAAGAGGGCTGGCAGGAAGCAGAGTGGGACCAATGTATGTGGGTGCCCAGGCAGACCAATAATTTGGCATTCCTTTAAAACAGTGCTATTTAAATATGAGTTTAATATTTTATTAGTGAAAATAAGGAGAGTTTTAAAAATCTGCCTTTGATGGTACTTTCTACTCTGCTGGGAGTGGGCTCAATTCACCAATTACATGTGCAACCATATGAGAAACCTGAATTAAACTGAAACTAATGTGATTTCAGAATGAGGCAAGACCTTATAGATGGGCTTCCAGGCAGCTGCCCAGTGGGCCTCTTCTTGATCCAGCTCTGGCTTGAGGCCAGGAAACGATGGCATCAGTCTATGGGCAGGCTGGCTTCTCATCAACAAGAAAGCAGGAATAGGAGGGTTCCTATGCTTCTTATGTGGAAACTGGGCCACTTAATCCATTAATGTGAGTCTCATCCTTTTGCCTTGTCCAGCCCCAGCACCCCATGAAGCAGCTTGGCCTAGTAGAAATCCTCAGAGTCCACTGGCCCCAGTTTCAAAACCCCAGCTTAATTCCATGTGCTGTGTAACCCACAGCAGTTTGGTCATCAGCCAAATGGGGATGTAACACCTACTTCCCTGTGTTGTATGGATTCCATGAAATAATAATGTATGCAAGGGCCCTGGAGTGCCTACCACAGACCCTCGGTTATGCTGGCTAAATTGGAAGCCATTCAGAAGGTGATTTTACATGGCGGATGCTCAGTAATTATTCATCGGTTTGGTTGGAGTGGGCTGCAGAAGCACAGATTCTGTGCTCTTGGCCTCTGCTGCATTTTCTCCTTTGCTCCTACTCTCTCCTCTCCATTTCTCTGTCTCATTTTACCAAATCATTCATTCATCAGATAGAGCCCACTGTGCACTAAGCCTTGCACTAAGTGCTAGAGTACCAGAGATAAATGAGAAGTTAAGACGGAACCCCACGCTAGAGAATCATACTTCTGGGGGCTGCATGAGGACTGTGGGAACCTAGAAGGGGGCATCCCTGAATCCTGTCTCTCTATTCTCCTCCCCAGGATGTCATTGCCTCCATCCTGATGAGCGGACGGATTGGGCCCAACATCCAGCTGGCTGAGTGCTATGGGCTAAGGCTGAAGCACATGAAGTCGGATGAGATCCACTGGCTGCACCCACAGATGACGGTGGGGGAGGTGCAGGACAAGTATGAGTGTCTGCACGTGGAAGCCGAGTGGAGGTAGGAGAAGGGTCCTGGGCTCTCAAATGGGGGGAGATGAGTATGGAGTGGGGAGGCCGTGGGAAGTCCTTCCTCAGAGCACTTCCCAACCTCTGAGAATCTCCTAGAAAATCTGGGTGGCATTTTAAGCCTAGTCCTCTTGCAGCATCCAATGCATGTATTGGCCAAAGCCTAACATGGGCTCATAGCACATCCCCCTCCCCAGGTCAGATATCAGGAACATCCCCAGGCAGGATGCTCCTGGTACTATGGAGAAAGAGGAACAGTAGGGTAGGGAGGATAGAGAACCAGGTCAAGTGCTGATCTGCAAACCTAAGGAAAACAATTGCCAAGAGGGGGAAGAGTTGGAGAGTCAGGACTAGCGTTGACTACCACCTGCTGGCCTCCATGGTCCTCCATGGTCCTCCACCTGACCACAGAGGAGGGAAAGAAGAAGCAAGTCCTGAATGGGTGGCCATCGGCCTCATGGGCAGACCCTTACATGACCAGCTTCCCTGTGTCAACCAGAGAGTCTGAACTTCCTGTCCCAGGTATGACCTTCAAATCCGCTACTTGCCAGAGGACTTCATGGAAAGCCTAAAAGAAGACAGGACAACGCTACTTTATTTTTACCAACAGGTAGAAGTATTTTATCTTCCTGTCCCCAGGGTCCTATTACTCATCCTCACCTGGGGAGATAGAACGACAAAGCTCAGATTTTGGAGATCCCAGTCTAGGAAACTTATCTTGGGGATATACATGCTTTGGTCCCTGGTCAACGGTTCCAACCCTGGTTCTCTCATGGCTCATTGAGTTCTGGCTCACCCCGCCCCATATGCACAGCTCTTTTGGACTTTGCTGGTGGCTATTTACTGCTCAGGAGACCTGGTGGTGAGCAGACAGAGCAGGTCCAAAGAGAAGTGGTAGTCTTAGCACACAGACTCTCACATACCTGGCTTCTAGCCCAGCTCTGCCACCTCCTAACCCAGGATCTTCTAAGGGCTTAACTTACCTGCCTGAAGCTGTCTCCTCTCCTAGAAGATGGAGGTGATAATAATCATATTTACTTTCTAGGGTTGTGGTGAGGACCAAATGGTATCATTAGCAGGGGCTTGTGAACCGGCTCTCTGAAGAAAAGAATCTCTGATGTATAGCACGTGCCAATTTCCATGGTGTAAATATTTCCCCACCATGGCATTTTTCAAGCTACCAGTATGAAATCATACAGCTTGCAAAACTTCAGAAGCTTTAATACCTGGCTTTCATGAGCTGTTCAGAGCTGCTGTAACACACCACTGTCTATAAAAAGGCAGGTAGCATGCCTGGCACAGGACGGGGCACAGTGGGCGCTGAGGACGCATGAGCCTGCTGCCCCTGTTGTCTGTCTGGTCCCTGCTCCCAACTGTATCTCCCTCCTGGTTTGCTGGACACGAAGCCAGACTCTGAATGTAAAGTGGATGACATCTGTCACTACTTACCAACAAGACTTTGAATAAATGATGGGCTCGTGCCCAAATTCCAGTTTCTTTATCTCTAAAGTGAAGAGTGGAGAGGAGAATCTGAACTCCAGCTTCATAATCCTGGGTGTCTGGAAGCGTTTCCAAAAATCTGAGGGCCTTGGCCTATGGAGGCATGAGTCTAGACGGTTCTGGAGGGAGGCAGAGACTACACATTTGTGCCTGGTGGGGTGTGTGAGAGAGAGAGACGGCTTGGGGCTGCAGGATTGTATTCAAAGCACCTGCCATCTCCTGGGGCCTCTGTTCAGAGAAACAGGGATAGGAGGGCGTGACTCTCCACCTTGGCCTTTCTCCTCACCAGCTCCGGAATGACTATATGCAACGCTACGCCAGCAAGGTCAGCGAGGGCATGGCCCTGCAGCTAGGCTGTCTGGAGCTCAGGTATGTGGCCTCAAGGACCCTAGGGACTGGAGTTCTTGGCCAGCTCCGTCTTGCCTCCAGGGTGGGAAACAAGAGTGGGTACATGGGGGGCGGTGACAAATGGTGGCTGACAGAGGGTAAGGTGCTCGCCGTCTGGTCCTTAGAATAGAAGGGACAGCCCCATCTCGGGCCAGTGTCCCTCGCTTCCTTTGGCTGCCGCTGCTTTTCCCTCCAGGCTGCCTACTTCTTCCATCTATCTGCCATTCGAGTGATTCAGTAAATGTGTCTTTGAGCACTAGGCAAGGTCCTGGGAGATGTTTGAAGGTCGGGTTTCCAGCTGTGTCGTTCATTGCTATGTCCTCAGCTGCAGTAGGCACCGAGAAATCTGTATAGAATTAGTAAGTCATGCAGAGATGCCCTCAAACTTCCGGGTCTGGTCTGGGAGGTGACAGGTGTGTCCACGGTTGCTTATAATATAAGGCAGAATGAAACAGGTGCCAAACATACACACATACGGAAGCCCTTAATCCTGTCTCAGGGATCAGGAAGAGGGGATCTGAACTTTCGAGGAAGGAGGATACATCCCATCCAGAGAAAATGGGGGGAATTGGGGGTGGGAGAGAGTGCATTCTCAGTCCAGGGTTCAGTAGAAAGAAGAGAACAGCCTAAAAGGTAGTGGGAGATGAGCAGAGGAGGTCAGTCAGACCTGATTATGGAAGACTTTGAGTGACAGACTAAGAAATAGGCTTTATTCTAGGCTGTGGAAGCATTCGGGGCGGAGGAGGGTGCGTGGTTAAAGCTGTGCCTAGGACTCTCTTGACCAGAGCAGACCATTCAGTTTCACCATCGGTCATATCCATCCGTTCTTTCATCTGTAAAATGGGAATGATGATAATAGTAGTAACCCTATAGGATTGTTATAAGGAATTAATGAGTTAATGTATTTAAAGTACTTACAACGATAGGGACAGAATATTCAGTAATTATTTATTGTTTGTATGACTTTTTTCTCTTCACCCTTATTTATTATTTATTTTTAATAGACCTTTTTTTAAGAACAGTTTTAAATTCGAAGCAAAGTTGAGAGGAAGGTGTAGAACTTGCGTGCCCACACACACACATGGTCTCCCCACTATCAGCATCCCCTACCAGCGTGGGACATTTGTAATCGATGAACCTACATCGACACATGATTATTACCCAAAGTCCATAGTTTACATTGGGGTTCATTCTTGATCTTGTGCATTCTGTGGATTTTGGTAAGGGTATGTTGTCCTTTATCCCCCCCACCCCCAATCATTACAGTGTCATGTGGAATAGCTTCACTGCTCTAAAATCCTCTGGGCCCCACCTATTCATCCCTCCCTCTCCCAACTCCTGGCAACCACTCACATTTTTACTATCGCCATAATTTGCCTTTTTCAGAACGTCATAGAGTTGGAATCATACCTAATTAATTTTTTATTGATTTCTTAGAAGTGCTCTGTAAATGCCAAATATTTTATCTATATGACCCCTCTAAGTTAAAATGTGAAATTCATGGGCCACATGCTACCTTCCCAGTGTGAGGAACCAAGTAGCCCCCCTTCACCTGAGACACCCAGGACCACTGCCCACTCCCAGCAGAGTCCCAGAACAGTCTGACCTAAATACACAGAGTGAATATGTACCCCAAGAGTAGTTGAGTAGGAACTGGTAATAAGTAAAGATTGGAGAAAGAGCATTCAGCTTGCTTCAGAAGGCATTTTATCTCATAGTTAATTTATAAATGTTGGTAATGAGTTAATATTTCTGTTGCTTTTTAGAAGAAAAACACAGCCAACTGGATTTTGCATAGATGCTTCTTTACCTTCTGCTGTTTTTACCTAGGCATCAGTCATGGGCCTATGCCTGCCCGTGCCCTGCTTTCCACCTAGTGTTAGCCGGTCAGAATGGCAGACCTGGCCTTCACAGAGCCAGTCAGACCCCCTCTACACTCAGAGAAAACCTCAGAGCATGCCTGTGAAGTGTCCATCACAAGCAGTATGGTGGCCATAGGTTCTTCCCACTGAGCCGGCTCCAGGGTCTTAGCATCTTGAAGGCTCCCCTTCCTCATGCCCACCCCACCTCCCCTACCCTATATAGATCTGCTGTACTCATGCTTCGCTCTACCAGGCCCTGATTGGCTCCATGCACTAGATTGTGAAATCCTATCAAATCCTAGAAGTTGGCATTGGCATCTCATTGCCTGGCACAGACTGAGAGTGCAGTATGTATTTGAATGAATGGATAACCCTGAAAGATCTAAAACCCTCTTCTCTGATGGGCATTTGCCAACATTTATTCTGTTAGAATTAAGTAAGTGCGTACAGCAAGCCAATTTGTTTAGTTACCTAGGAGTACATTTTGCAGCTCCCTCGAGCCAGCGGGAATGGCTGGAGGCCATGTTGTCTATAACCAACACTCCACAGGCATGCTCTGAGGTTTTCTGTGAACCTGGGGGGCAAGTGGGTAACACTGGCTCAGAAAATTTTCTAAAGCTGCCATGATGGGCCGTGTGGAAATTTGGGATCTTAACCGTAAACATTTTCAGGTAGAAGTAGGAGGAGAATGACCGTCCATCCAGGGGAGAACCCTGGATAGGCTCCTCATGTCCTACAAGTGAATATCATCCCTACTGACCTGTTGTTTGGTTTCCAGAGTTTGGGCCTGCTTTAATCAGCTGGCCTGCTCCTCCGGGATCTGCTATCCCATTCTGTCAGACACCCAGTAGAGAGAAGTGGGTCAAGGAAGAACATTCTTCCCAGATCCCTGAGCTCTCTCCTTGGATCAAGCTCTCAGGGTTTCTCCATCTCAGGAATAGGGACATTTGGGGCTGGATAATTCTTTGGTTGGGGGGTCATCCTGTGAATTGTAGAAGATTTAACAGCATCCCTGGCCTCTACACACTAGATGCTGGTGGGACCACCCTCCTCCTAACCAGATGTGACAACCAAAGATTTCCAGACATTGCCAAACGTTTCCAGGCTGGAGAGGGAGGTGTAAAATTGCCCCTGGTTGAGAACGACTGAATTGGGCCATTAGAGGGCCATATACTCGAGCCACTGAATGCTAGGCCTTCCAACGATCATTATTGGCTGCCTTGGGTCATTTGTTTTTAGGTCACAGATAGAACCGCCATCTTCCTCCTCTGCCCCAAAACTGGGCAGTCCTAGAGCTGGGCCTCCCAAAGCACAGGGATATATATATATATATAATTTTTTTTTTTTTTACTCTCGTAATGTTCTCCTTTCCTTTGGTTACTACATTTGGAAGAGGAAAGGGAGCTTCTAGACCAATGTGTGGCATTAGGTGACCCCAGTCTAATGGCCTCATTCTCCAACCATCAACCTGTCCATGACTTCTCTCTCTCTCCAGGCGGTTCTTCAAAGACATGCCCCACAATGCACTTGACAAAAAGTCCAACTTCGAGCTCCTGGAGTAAGTTTTGACACTGGCCCTCGCCTCTCCTGCCTTCCTTCCTTGCTGCCCTGCTTTTCCTATTCACTCCCTACCTTGTTCATCTCCAGACCAGAGCCAGGCAGGACCCATCCCCTGGTCCTCAAGCCATCTTGCCTCTTCCTGATTGGCCTAAAGTCCTGGATTGGGGGTGAGGGAGAGTCAAATGTCACTTCCCCCCTCTTCTTTCAGGAAGGAAGTGGGGCTGGACCTGTTTTTCCCAAAGCAGATGCAGGAGAACTTAAAGGTGAGGAAACCACTGGGCAAGGGGCTCAGAGAGACCCCCTTTGTGTTGGCCTCCAGGACTGGAGCTAACGGCATTGGGCTGGGGGTACTCGGGAAAGCCAGGGTATCTGTGGGCATAGGACCACTAAAAGCATCTAGTGAGCCCTTTCTGTGGCTGGCAATTAGGAAACCTGGCTCCATTTCCACATCAGAGGCCAATTAGCTTTGTGGCCTGGGGATGCTACTTCCCATGCTTCCCTGCCAGGGCTATGGTGAGCCTCCCTTGAGACAGTAGGTATGTGGTTTAGGTAACAGCTCGCTGCTGCTCTCGTGGCAAAGGCCTGGGGACCATCCTCCAGCAGCAGAAAGGTTTTTGGTGAGATCAGGGAGGGAATCAGAGCTTGGAGGAGCAGGGCCCGCTCATCACTGACCATGTCCCCCCACCCCAGCCCAAGCAGTTCCGGAAGATGATCCAGCAGACATTCCAGCAGTACGCCTCACTCAAGGAGGAGGAGTGTGTCATGAAGTTCTTCAACACCCTCGCGGGCTTTGCCAACATCGACCAGGAGACCTATCGCTGTGAACTCATTGTAATGCCACGTCCTTTTTACTCTCTCCCTGACCTGAATTCCAGGCCTCACAGGGAACAGACCCATGAGGCCAACATGGGGGGCCAAGAAGGGGTGTGCTTGCTTGTAGCAGCCCACATAAGCCAAGATCCTTGGGCAGCGGGGCCTCACCAACATACTGTCAAATGCAGCCAATGGTAACCCACTTGCCTGAGGAAGGGAACTGAAATCTTGGCTACAGATTTTGGAGGTGGGCAGAGTAGCAGGGTGTTGGGAGGAGAGTAATCTGTCTGGCAGGGTTTGAAGATTGAAGGAGCTGGAGGGCTCAGGAGACAGTGGCCTGTATCTAACTTAGTGAGCTTTTTTTCAAATTTCTGAAATAGGAGGGAGACAGAACTGAAGCAACAGTCCTCTCTTTCCTTTTATTCCAGCAAGGATGGAACATTACTGTGGACCTAGTCATCGGCCCTAAGGGCATCCGCCAGCTGACAAGTCAAGATGCAAAGGTAGAGAGAAAGAAGGGCAGGCTGCACCCAGCCCCAGGCTAAGCGTCTTCCCCTCTCTGCTGCCTCCCACCTTGTCGTGCTTTTCAGTTGTTCCTTCCCCTTGCTGAGATCAGAGAGGCCCTTGATATGAATAGCCATAGAGAGAGTGTTTGGAGCATGGGGCAGATGGCTCTTTACTTCCCTGTGCTATCCCCTACACAGAGGCTGGGGGGCAGGGGTGGTTTGGGGGGAAGAGAACACAGAAGGGCACCATCACTGCTCTTCTGGCTTAGATAAAACAGTTGCTCTGGCAATGGCAACATGGGACAATCGTTCCCCTGGAAGTCAAAAGACCTGGGGAGGGGGGGAGGTCCCAGTCCTGGCTCTATCACCAATGTGGCATATGACTTGGGGCCAGTCCCGGCTCTCTAGACCCATCTTCTCTTCTGCAAAGTGAGGAGCTTAGACCAGATGATCCTTTCAGTCTTCATTGTCTTTGATTCTCTCTTCATCCCACGGGGAGGCTCTCAGTGCTTCCTTACAACCCCTCCCCCTGGACTGACCAATCTTCATGGCCCGACCCCAGGAGTGGGATGGTCTGAAGGGTCCCTCCTTTCTTACAGCCCACCTGCCTGGCCGAATTCAAGCAGATCAAGTCCATCAGGTGCCTCCCCCTGGAGGAGGGCCAGGCGGTACTGCAGTTGGGCATCGAAGGCGCCCCCCAGGTGAGCATCTCTGGGCCCCTGGCAGCTCTGAAACAAGGGCGTGCAACCGCAGGGCAAGATTCCTTGCGTAGGTCAGCCTGGCTTCTGGGATCTTGCTAAGAAAACTGCACCTATTTCTCAGACAAGGTACCAGGTTGACAATAAAATTATAAGGGAAATGTATCAGGAAGCAAAGCTGTTTAAAAATGTCAAGAAATAAGTTGGGGGAGTTTTTAGAGTGGGTGAAGTGACCAGAAATCAAGGTACATATGAGAGGTTTAACTTTGAACAAGTGAATGATGACTCAGTAACAGGACCTCCAAAGGACCTGGGCTTTTTGTGGGTGGAAGAATCAGAGAGAACTCAGACTGCAAACTGATTGTCTATCTCCCATTTCATCTGTCTGTGCCTGCCCACTCCTTCTTCTCCTAGTTTCTGCTCTTACCTGTGGAGCACCTACTAGGTACAAGGCATTGTGCTATGCACTCAGAGACCAAAATAAGTCCTAGCTGAAACTGGCCTTCCTAGGGTTTAGGGTCACCAGTGGGGAGGGATGATGAGTGCACCCCCTGGTGGCAGTGGGGAATGCAAGCCGAGCCCCGGGACAGGTGCTGATGGATTCCAGGCAGGAGATGGGTGGTGTCGTCTGCTCCTTCCGAGTATGCAGTTTCTTCTCCAGTCCTGTGGGGCAGACTCTAGCCAAGGCTTTTGGGTCTCATCCTTGGCTGGTCTCTTCTCTGCAGTCCTTGTCCATCAAAACCTCCTCTCTGGCAGAGGCCGAGAACATGGCTGACCTGGTGGACGGTTACTGCCGGCTGCAGGGGGAGCACAAAGGCTCTCTCATCATTCATCCCAAAAAAGGTGAGTTTCCATTTAAAGGCAAACTGGCCCAATGAGCAGATGTGGCACAAGCCCCCAGAGGCAGAGCGGGAGAAGCAAAACCATTGACCAAGATGTGAATGAAGAGGCTCTGGAAGTGGGACGAGGTGCTTGCCGAGTCCTTGCATCACAAGGATGCTCCTTGTGGACCCATCCTGGGTCCTTAGCTGCAGGCCCTGGCCAAAGGCAGTTTGGGGGCTGGCTTCTGAAGCGGAGGTGTTTGTAGCCCCAGGAAGAGCAAAGTTAGTGTTAGAACATGACTGGCCCCTCCTGTGAGCATATGTCTATTTGGGGATGGGATCAGGAAGCAGGGGTCCGGGTTGGAACATGTGGGTGGTGGCAGAAAGAAACTCGAGAATTTCTTCTACTAAGAGGACTCTAATTCAGGCCAGCTTCCACTCCGACTTTCAGAGGATTCGGAATGGTGGGAAGGGGTCCCCCGTGTGTCGGTTCATAGGAGAAGTGAGGTCAGCCATCCATCCAGGACCCTGTGTCCCTGGCTCCAGCTCCCCCTTTCTGCCCTCTCCCCAGATGGTGAGAAGCGGAACAGCCTGCCCCAGATCCCCATGCTGTGAGTACAATGGGAAGACAGGGAACAAGGTCTGCACTCAGCCTGTGTCTTCCTGGGAGGAGGCAGAACAAATAGGGAGCCCCACTGCCAGGGTCTCTGGTTTCCAGGCCCCAGGGGAGAACACGGGAACCCCGGCATTTCGCAAGTGGCAATTTCTCACCAGTAAATTTCACCCCATCAGTCCCTGCAAGGGTAGCCCTGTGTCCTAATGCCGTCTGGCCTCATCGTATGGAGAATGGCGCGTCCCCTCTTTCCTGCCCCCTGGCAGCGGGGGCCGTGCTCCCGGGCTGGTGTCACCAGAACAGGGTGCTCCTCCGCCGGGCAGGCGGGGGGACAGGGGCAGCTGGCCTCCAGGAGGGGCGGCCGGGAGAGGGTGGGCCGGGGCCGTGTTGCCGGGCTCTGAGTTCCCCGGGCTCCTGCCCTTTCTTCTCCTCCTACAGCAGCCTGGAGGCACAGCGGCCCCACCTCTCAGACAGCAGCGGCATAGGTGAGTCTGCCCATCTGCAGTCCTCTACCTGTGTCCAGAGCCTCTCTTCTGCCTGCTCTTTCTTGTGCATTGCCACGGATTCCCTCAAAGTTGCAGAAAAGCGCACTTCCCCTATGACTTCTCAGTGACAGCTTAAAGCGTCATTAATCCTAAGAGCTAACATGTATTCACCGGTTAATACAGGGCACCATGTTTGTCTGAGCTCGGGCCGCCATGACAAACACCACAGCCGGGGGGCGCCATACTCCTGACCTCCCCTAAGCCTAATCACCAGCCCCCAAAGGCCCCGCCTCCAAATACCTTCGCACTGGGGGGTCGGGATCTCAACATATGAATTTGGGGGAGAGACACTCAGTCCCCAGCAGTGTTAAATCCATCATAGGTATTCTTTTATTTGATCTTTAAGATATTCCCTGGAAACATTCCTTTCACAGAAAGAAAAACTGAGATTGAGGGAGACCAACTTGCCCTAAATGATGCAACCAGGCAGTAGTGAGCAGGGATTCAAGTCAAGGTGCCCTAGGCTCTGTGGCCACGCCAAAACGTGGGACGGGAGCCCCAGTTCTTGCCTGGCTCCCCTTCCCTCCACCACTCCCCTCCCTGGGATGTCAGCCTTGGTTTTGCTGGCCTGCATGTGGGAGCCCCATGCCCGGTTCCCGGTGGTGCCCGCTGAGAGCGTCTTACCCATAGGATGTTTTCTTTCTGTCATTCCAGAATCAGACATCTATGCTGAGATTCCCGATGAGACCCTGCGAAGGCCCAGAGGTAGATCTCTGGCCCCACCACAATGGCCACAGCCAGGGCCCTATGAAGTGACATTGTGGGGACACCTGTGACACCCCAGGGGGATTTTATTTCCTTCCTTCGTCCTCTCCCATGTGTGCCTCAGACAGGGACAAACCGAAGTGAAATACCTTTGATTTGAAAGCTGAGATCATTCTTTTGTCCCCACACTATTGACCTTGTGTGTGCCTGTGATGTGTGTGGGGATCCTAAGAGTGTGGATATGAGACCTGGCCTTCAGAGGGAACAGGGTGGTTGTTTTTCTCCAAGTCTGAGATGATGGAACCTTCTAGAACCCCTTTTCCAGGCCAACTCCTGCATCTTACCTGAGATGTTGTTAAGGGGTTTGGTGATGCCTGGGCAGGAGGGGAGCAGAGCCTGGCATTGGGGCCTACAAATACTCAGATTCCCAGGGGCACCCGTGGATAGTGAGACTCTCTGCTCTTTCCACCTGCCCAGGTCCGCAGTATGGCGTCACACGGGAAGATGTGGTCCTGAATCGGATTCTTGGTGAAGGCTTTTTTGGGGAGGTCTATGAAGGTGTCTACACAAATCACGTGAGTTCCAGACTCTTCACGGACACTCCTCTCCCACTTTTCCATAGAATGAAAGGGGAGTTCATATATTCTGGGGTTGGAGCAGCCACCATGATATGTGGCTCTTCATCCACTTGGCATTTGCAGTATTTATGAAATACCCAGGGAGTGATGGAAGCAAGAGTCATTTCCCAGAAGGATAGCAAGCCCAGGGAGTAAAATGGAGGCAGGACCTGGGGAAGAGTTGGCTGAATCTTGACGGGCAAGAACATGGGGAAGTGTGAGAAAATGTAGCTCTGGGAAGAGGAAGAGCAGGATCTGAGGCAGGGGCTAGTTTTGAGGCCCCAGTGGGGTGGGACCCTGCAGAAAGGGTAGAGCCAAGGAAAAGACGCAGCAAAAATGCAAAAGCCAACAATAAAAAGAGAGAAAGAGACTGGAACACTGCGTCGGATGGCTTTGCACATGCACTCCACACACACCCACGAACAATGGGCAGAGCACTGGCCCTGAGCCTCAGTGTCCTGATCTGGACGGCCAGAGGCTTTAGTCTCAAAGGTCCTTTCTAGTCCTGACATACCCTAATCAAGAAGCAATGAAGTCAGGGGGTGCCTGGGTGACACAGTCGGTTAAGTGTCCGACTCTTGGTTTCGGCTCAGGTCCTGATCTGAAGGTGGTGGGATAGAGCCCCATGTCGGGCTCCACACTCAGCATGGAGTCTGCTTGAGATTCTCTCTCCCTCTCCCTCTGCCCCTCCTGCTCATGCACTCTCTCTCTCTCTAAAATAAATAAATCTTAAAGAAAAAAAAAAGGCAGTTAAATCAGGAGTCAGAGAGGAGTGGAGAAAGAGAGTGGGGGGAAGAAGGAGGAAAAGGAGGAAGGTGCCTGGCAGAGACCAGGAGGCCCAGATGTTGCCTGTCTTCCCTCAGCTGTCAGCCAAGCCTGTGGGATGACCATGGCGATGCCAGGGAGGGGACGCTTTCTTTTGAGTCCTGGGCTGGCCCAAGGGGCTCTGAACAGACTTTCGTTGCAGAAAGGGGAGAAAATCAATGTCGCCGTAAAGACCTGTAAGAAGGACTGCACTCTGGACAACAAGGAGAAGTTCCTGAGTGAAGCAGGTACATGTCCCCTGGGAAGTGACACAGCCCCCGTGAGTGAGAAAAGACCCTGTGAGATGACACGGACCTGGATGTCCGAGATGGGAGAGGGGCCTGGAATCAGGGATGGGGAGGGTGCGAACAGCGCAGGGACCTTCTTCGGGAGGAGGGGTTTCCCTCCCCGTTTCTCCCAGTTGGGACAGCCCAGCCTGTTTCCCCGTATTGGACCTTAGGGCCACTCTGGCCCATCCCTCTTGCCCCCAATTTCAGTGATCATGAAGAATCTCGACCACCCACATATCGTGAAGCTGATCGGTATCATTGAAGAGGAGCCCACCTGGATCATCATGGAATTGTATCCCTACGGTGAGGTGAGCTGGGGATGGCAGGAGTGGAACCCTGTTGAGCTGGGCCTCCGGGTGGGATGCATTTAGAGCATGGACCCTTCACTCCCAGCTTCCTGCCCTCTGTATTCAGCCCAAACAACCCAGAGATCGTGTGTAGGGGAAATTTCTGGAACATCTTGCCAACTTGGGTTTGCCGGGGAAGGGCTTGGTGGCTGCCCGCGGAGTCTGTGCCGGGGTCCTGATGGCATCTTCCCTCTTCCTACAGCTGGGCCACTACCTGGAGAGAAACAAGAACTCCTTGAAGGTGCTCACTCTCGTCCTGTACTCGCTGCAGATTTGCAAGGCCATGGCTTACCTGGAGAGCATCAACTGTGTCCATAGGTGGGGCTGGGGAGAAAGCTGGGCTCCTCGATCTGACCGTGGAGGGGTTGGGGTCATGTGGGGCTTTGGAGTCACACAGACGAGTATTGAGACCCCAGCATTAGTCCTGCCTCACATGACAAGTCGAGCACCTGCTAGGAACCCATTGCCTCATCTGAAAGGTGGAATCGCCATACGTGCCTCATGGCATTGTTATTAAGACTAAATCTAAAGTGCGGGGCATCTGATTGTAGCTCGGCTCCATCTAGCCAGTTTCCCGGTGGGGTCTAGGAAATTGCTCCCCCACTTGCACGGAGCTGGCTCACCCATTTGGTGGCATGTGGCCCAGGCAGGGGGATGGGACTGGGGCAGCACCAGGAAGATCCTGGGGTCTGGGCCCTTCCCAGCCTGAGCAGCTGCCCCCCCCTCCCCCGTCCTCAGCAGCCCAGCTGCCAAGTCCTCTCCTCCCTCTGGCTGGGGGGTGGGCCCCTTCTCCACCTGGCTTTGTTCCCAGTTCCTGAAAGGAGGTTCCAGCCACAAGGGATGTGATCCCCTGGAGGAGACAAAGGGGGTGCTCCCAGAATATTGGGGTGAGCAGATGAATTCTTCAATCCAACACCATGGATGTGGGATATGTGGTCTTGTGGGTGATACTATGCAAAGCAATGTGTGGGGATATAAACGTTCATTCATTCATTCCATTCACTCATTCAACACCTCTGGAACTTCTACCCTGTGTCTCCAAGTGCTGTCCTTGGCTCTGAGATAAAGTTGTAGTCAAAACAGACCCAAACTCCCTTTCCTTGTGGAGCTTACCTTCTAGGATGAGGGTGAAATTCGAGATGTAAATAAATAGATAAATAGTCATGAGGGGAAGGTGGTGGGATAACAGATCTGTTTCCCTTGTTTGTTTGGGTGAAGCTGTCCTGCTTTGAAGTCAGCTTTTCAGTAATAAAGACAAATGATAGGGAATGGAGCCTGCCTGTGAGAAGCGAGCAGATGACCCTGGGTTAGAAACGATGCCAGGAACATGAGGTACACTGAGACAGTGGGTGCTCCCCAGAGAGGGATGAGAGCTCAGCTCTGGAGTTAGGCTGCCTGGGCTGACCCCTTTCCCCGCCTGGGGAACCTACTGGGCGAGCTCCTTCGGCTTTCTGTGCCCCCCGCCCCGTCTCCTCCTCTGTGCCGGGGCTGGTGGGGGGCGTCTGAGGGTCTGTCTGTCACAAGGCAGGGTATGTACAGAATTTGGGTGGTCCTGACCATCCTAGTGCTCCCTAGAGGGTATCTGGGAGCTGTTGCTCTTAGCCACGACAAAAGCCTACAGTCCAATGGAGTTGCAGAAGCAGGGGAGAATAGTGACCAGGAAAGCTGCTGGGGCTCTCCCTTGAAGAATCAGCAGGGTGACAGCATTCCTGGCAGAAGGGAGGATACAGCCTGCAGGGCAAGTGTGCGGAGCAAGTCCTGGGAACCTGAATTGGCTTCACATGGAGCCCCGTGAGGAGGGGTGATGGGAGATAAAGCTCCCCAGGGAGGTAGAAGGAGGTGGCTGAGGGCCTCGTGTGTGGGGGGACCTGGACGGCCAGCCCAGCCTCTTGGGGCCCTAGCCGGCACTCTTCTCCTTTACCTCTCTGTCCATCTGTCTGTCAGAACGAAACATTCTGAACCTCCACATCTCTCTCCCAGGGACATCGCTGTCCGAAACATCCTGGTGGCCTCCACTGAGTGTGTGAAGCTGGGGGACTTTGGCCTTTCCCGGTACATTGAGGATGAGGAGTATTACAAAGGTGAGGGATGTTCGGCCCCGGACTTGTCCCTGGAGGGGTCGCTGCAGCCCCACACCACCCCAAAAAAAGAAAGAAAGAAAGGCTACAGTTGGTCAAGCCCAGGCCAAGGGTTTCTGGAGAATAGGCTGGAATTCTGGATAATTCTGGATCTTTCTTCACAAAATAACCCCTGTGAATCTCTTTGCCCACCCAAAGCCTCTGTGACCCGTCTCCCCATCAAGTGGATGTCCCCTGAGTCCATCAACTTCCGCCGCTTTACAACAGCCAGTGACGTCTGGATGTTTGGTGAGTGGAGTTTCAGAAGAGCATGGGAAAGGGTTCTGATTCTCCCCTCCATGACCAGGCTTACAGGGGGTACAGGAGGCAGAGAGGTCTGGCCCCCCATCCCTGGGTTGCAAGGGTTCTGTTTTGCTGTGGCCACTGAGAAGTCCCAGAAGTGGGGGGCCCGTGGTGGGTTGGGGATGATATGGGCTAAAGGCCTGCCTGGGCACTATTGGTTAATATTCCTGGAAAAGGCTCCTGAGGGGAGCATGCACTCCACCAACCAGTCCCAGGGACTGATGTGATCCCCTAGAGGGGATCAAACTCTGAAGTTTGTTCTGAGAAGGAGGTATAGGGAGAGGTGAGAACAAGACCAGGTGATAGATGGACAGCCCCTGACAGAGCACACAGCCACGTAGATTATCCCTCTCAGTTCTCCACAGCCAGCCCAGTAAAAGCTCATTATTATTATTCCCATTTTCCAGATAAGGAAACTGAGGCTCAAGCAGGCCAGGGGCTTGTGTTGGCAGCAAGTGTTGGTGCTAGGCTTCAAACCCCAGCTTTCCGATAGAGTCTTCACTCCCTCTTAAGGGAAGGCACTGGTGGTCCCAACAATACGCCCTTTGGCCCCTCTTCCTTGTCCCACAAAATCTAATAGCTCCCTGTGGAAGGGCTCTAGGGAGGGGATCCTTAGTTCACTTGGAGATGCAGGTGATTGGTCCCTCAGTGGCCCACCACACTGGGCAAGCCCCCAGGGATGCTAGACGGGGAGGCTGGGGAACTCAGAAGGTCCCACAGTTTTTCCTGAGGAAGGTGGACTGGACTCTCCGGGTATGCGTCCTCCACAGTGCAGGTTCTGAGCCCTCTCTTCCTGCCTTCAGCTGTCTGCATGTGGGAGATCCTGAGCTTTGGCAAGCAACCCTTCTTCTGGCTGGAGAACAAGGACGTCATCGGGGTGCTCGAGAAAGGGGACCGGCTGCCCAAGCCCGACCTCTGCCCACCTGTCCTCTACACCCTCATGACTCGCTGCTGGGACTACGACCCCAGTGAGCGGCCCCGCTTCACTGAGCTCGTGTGCAGCCTCAGGTGACCATGGAGCAGGGGTGGGGGGCTACAGGTGCAGGGACCCCAGATAGCAAGTCTCCTCTTCAACTGCCCTTAGGGGCTTAAAACGAACGTACTTCCCTAAACAAGATGCAGTTGGCATGACCACCTTAAGGATGAGAGAATTCAGGCTCAGAGCTGTGGCCATGACGGGTGGGGTTGGGACTTGCACCAGGACCTCCCCTCTGACCAACACGGAGCCATGTGTCCAAGCGGAAATGGCTGGTCCTCCCAGCAGAAGCACAGTGCCCTACATGTCACAGAGGCTCAGCAGCTCGGTCAGAGGACAGGGGATTGAAACCAAGTTCACTGTCAGATAGGAACTCACAGACAGTGAGCCTGCGTAAGCCTCACCATCTTGGTATCTGTCAACCCCAAGCACGAGATGTTTCTCCTAGTATGCATTCCAAAAATATTTTGCAGGTTTGATCACAAAGTCTAAACCAGACTTTCACCGATGTGCCTAGGCTCTTTGCAGAGATTGCTCTTTACAGGAGGCCCAGCTCGGGCATGGGACCTGCATTCCCAGCAACACCCTTGAGCCTCTGTGCCTTTGATTGTTCCTCCCAGATAGTGGGGAAGGGAGTGATTGATTTTTGACCATTAAGACAGCGACCCGGGGGTGGCCTCTCCTTTCTGATTAGAGCATTGGCAGCCTGAAGGTCTGATGTTTCATCCAAGAGCCATTATTCTCTCCTGGGGAAGGGTGCTGTCAGATCACATTTTAAATATATATATTTTTTACAGATTTTATTTATTTATTTGACAGAGAGAGACACAGCGAGA